GTTTAGTGGGTATACCATGGAGGGGACTCCCACACTATCATATGGGGGATTGGACCCATATGATGTCTATAAAAGATTTCAACCACCTCGGCGAAAAAAAAAAATAGTAAGGACAAATCAGACGATTTTCCCCAAAGCTTGACATTTCCCTAGTAGAAACCTAACAGAAAAATGCAATCAATACTCACCTTGTCATCTTGTTTGAAAAATATTTGAAAGAGAAAATTATAGGTGTGATGACAAAATTTCAAGTTTCAGTTATTTTTTAATATCGAAATGGAAAATAATTCTTGATATCGGTACATGCCTATAGATATATAGATGTCTTCGTTTTTGTGTTTTGATACTTCTCAGTCGTTATATTTCACAAGAAAATCTATCAAAATGACGAACAATGCTTCTGTGATCCCGTCATATACTAGAAGATAAGAATAATGATCTTAAAAAAAATAATAATAAATAAAGATTTTCATCTCGAATCAAAATGAACATCGAATCATCTCGACAGTTCACAGATCGATTCGAGTATTAAGAAATATTCACTTCATGGGTACTGGATTGACAAGTATGCCGTCGAACGCCATATTTTAACGTTTCTCGAAATTGAAGGGCTTATTGTGAAACAATGACAAGCCACACAAGAGTTCAAAGTGAGTTAGTGCTCTTCTCGGTTGAAGCAATATTATAACAAGCCAAAGTCACTACAAAATTATTACGATCCTTCGTTAATGAATGGCCCGAAAAAACTATGGTCACACTATTGCATGGGTTTATTTTCTTCTCTAGTTACTGCCCGACATAATGACAAGCGTCACAAAATGGCCGACACGAGCGAAAGCTGTTCCGATAATGATGGGAATTCTGACGATTTTAGTGAAGTTGAGTCGACACAAGTCAATGACAGTGACCATGACCCTAACTTTGAACAATCTAGAACTGACTCAAGTGATGGAAATACAGCAGTATGTAGTTTTTCCCAAATGTGGCTTGTCACATTACATATCCGAAAAAATTCCAACAAGTCGAGAGAGACAAAGAAATTATTAGTGTTATTTGGGATCAAATAAAAAATTTCGACGAAATTTAGGGCAAGAATGTGTAAGATTTTGAGTAATCATTTTAAATTTCAGCCGTATGGGGGCGGTTCAGAATAACCCCCCATGGTAAATCCTGCCTGTCGTAAAAGGCGGCTAAATCGCCCGATGAAATACCACCATATCGACTTGCGTGCTGTGAAATGGATCAATCCATGTTTCAGTGTTCGGTCGATACTTTCCGGTCTCCCCCACCCTTTTCCCAAATTTCTCATCTCTATGGATAAAGATGATGAAGTCTCCTAGAGTGAAACACTCCGGAAGTAAAATACCTCTCCATTCGGATTTCCGGGCGAGATGTACTCGAGGGGACTCATCTCTGAAGATTAATTTTTGCAACATCCGCAGACTCAACAAAAACACCAATGACGTCCACCATCATCTACAAACGAAAAAACCAGATATTCTGGCACTAACAGAGACTCAAGTGAACTCGTCCACCAACAAGGTCCACATGCTCTGTCCTGGTTACGAACTCCATTCGTGATTCAGGTTCAAAGGTAGAGTCTGCCTCTACGCTGAGGCTAACCTTTCATGCCAGTGTGTAGAGAGTTTGCAACCGAAAGACTCTGATGTGATGTAGTTCAAGCTAGTCGATACCAGACTGTCCAAATTTATCTGCTGCCTTTACCTACCGCCTAATGATAATGAATATAACAACCTCTTCGAGTTTTTATCACTCAAACTGGACTTCATTCAGGAGGACCATCCAACAGCTGAAATCATGATAATGGGAGACTTCAATGTACACAACGCAGCCTGGCTCAAATTCTCTAACAAAACAGATGATGCAGGTCGTCAAACTGAGGCCTTTGCCATCACTCATAGTCTAGAATACTCTAGAACAACTAGTCGAACTACCAACCCGCATTCCAGATGTCAACAACCAGTCTGCCAATACACTAGATCTTCTTCTCACCAGCAATCCTGATCCATATAGAATAGAAGTTTGTGCCCCACTTGGGAACTCTGACCACACCCTCATCTCCACAACCTGCTCTTTCCATGTACCATTCAGCACCACAATTCCTACCCGTCTCATGTGGCATTACAATCCGGCCGACTGGGAAGGTCTTCGTATGTTTTTTTCAGCGTTTCCATGGAAGAGAGTTTGTTTCTCCTCAGCAGATCCAACACGATGTGCTGAGACAATTTCTGAAATCATCATGTTGGAGATGCAAACCAACATACCAAACACTGCAAGGAGAACATCTTCCGATAAGGCCTGGTTCAGTAGAAACTGCTCTAGAGCTGTCGCTTCCAAACAGGCAGCATTCCATCGATGGCAGAAAAATCCAGGCCCTGAGACTAGAGCAGAATATGTCGAGGCTAGAGGCATATGCAATGAGACAATTCGATCACCAAAACTTGTTGAATGTCCTAACGGATCCCGTTCATTTTGGTCCTTCGCCAAAGCTGTAGGAAGAAACTTCACTTCTAGCTCGTTTCCTCCTCTAACCAAGGAAGATGGAGCACTAGTCACAACTGCCCAGCAGAAAGCCAACATTTTTGCGCATTCATTTGCTGAAAATTCCACTCTGGATTCATCGGGAAAACAACCTCCAAACATAATGGCAATTAACAGTCATATGCCCGAGATCACCTTTCGCCAACGTACTATAAGGAAGATTTTACTGGTTCTCAACACCGACAAAGCTTGTGACTCCGACGGAATCCCATTGATTGTTCTCAAGAGATGTGCTCCCGAACCAACACTTGTTCTCTGCAAATTGTTCAACTTCTCTCACGAATTGGGGATATTCCCGTCCAACTGAAAAATTGCAAGAGTACTACCAGTTCCTAAAAAAAGCAAGAATAAGACCCTACCTAGCAACTATAGACCGATCGCACTGCTATCTATCATTTCAAAGATCATGGAGAATGCTATCAATATCGAGCTCATGAAATACCTGAAACATTCAGGTATTATCAACGATAGGCAATTCCTCCCTTGGCAGTCCCCACGAGATTGACCCGTCGAGTTGAGGCTTCGCACCCCTTCGTGGTCACTTTGGAGACTTGCAGAACACCTCTTTCCAAAGACTCGTTTATCCAACGAAAAGTAAGGCTCTGGAACACATTGCCAAGAAAGGTGTTTCCCGGGGCATAATATAACCTCCAGAAATTTAAGGAGATCACCAATTCCTACCTATTTCCCTTGGTTCTCACGATGTTTTCTGAACATTACAGGATATCCCTTTTCGTGGGAACCAGAACATAAAAAAAGATGGAATAATGTAACAAGCCCCATTTTTTTCAAATAAGGTCTGTTTTTCTCAAGTAATTTCATTAACCTACGGCCACTATAGAAAGTAGGCAAGAACACACGAGGGGCCAGGTAGCCGTGCGGATAGAGTGTCCGTATTCTAATCCGCATTCGCTTGCCGGTCGTGGGTTCGATTCCCATCGACTGCGCAGAAATTTTTCTGATGGCCCAAGAAAGTGTTTGGGATCACACGTTCAAAGGTAAGGCCTCCGTCATTCCTTGCTCGCACAAGACTTTCGAAGACTTCTGAGGGTTGCTCGTAAGGGGGCAACCGAATGACGGATAGAACAACAACAAAACAAAAACAATACAGCCTCAGTAAGTAGCTCTTCACGCACAGCACATCGCACAGTTTTCGTTTATTCCGCCAGTCATGTTCGCGTAATCGCCGTCAACAGCGGATGACATAACTGTCAAGAATTATAATTCAGACTGTTTGTCCAAACTTTTTCGATGTACCATATAGAGTATAGAGTAGGTAAAGTATAGTACGTAATGCGTGTTGTAAAGCAATTACGCACTCATGCAACTTTTCCATTCGTGCGTAATATGCTTCTTACAACACATATTACGTAATATACTATTATATTCTTGTGTACTATAAACTTATGAAAACATTGAACTTGTTACTGGATTTTATATATTATTTTAAACATTCAAAGTCAAATATCTCATTCTCACCTTTGAGAGGCATGCCATTGTTTCACAATAATGGGCTTATATCACAAAAAAAAATTATTTCATAATTCTATAGAACTCAACCAAACTAGATCACCACCGCAAAACGTTTCTTGCTGTGAGCTCCCTACGTTTTATTGAAACTTATTGAAATCCCCGATTTTTTGGATCCCTGAAATCGAGGCGATGATGTGACGTCAAAACCCTAATACTCAAACAAGACTATTCCAGACAGAGTTGAATGATACATGATTTCTGACAGAGTGAATTAGCGCAAGATCACAGTTGAAAGAAATTATATATCAGTTGCCTCAGTCTCCGTCGGGTGTTTGGTATTTTCTTTTAACTATGGCGAGATGAGGTTTCTACGTCATAAGAGGGTCCGTTTTCAGAAGGTACTATTATTTATGTCCAAAAATAAAACATTCCAGTTAATTTTTCGATCGAATTATGTCGTCAATCATTATTTATGTATAAAAGGATCATTATAGACATGGTTTGAGTTAAAAGTTCTACTAAGGTGTACACGCCCATTGTGAGGTATTCAATTGGTATTTTTTCAAGTATTAGGAAAAGTTTATGCAAAGTCAGTTGAAAAAACACATCACCGCAAGCCGTCGGTCCCTATGAAAGTTCAAAGAGTGCGGCATCGCGGCCCGACATTCGTTTCATGATCTGTTCAACTGACTTTGCATCATGAACTATACAGCTCATTTTGTATCGAAAATTTGATGCATTCGTTGTCATGACGTATTTCAGTTTTATGCACATTTAATTTGAATTCACGCAAAAAACTAGAGATATGGATATATTCCATCTCCTCCATTAATCCTACCGACAGTATTGACATATGGGCTCTTATATATCTCTTGGCTTCGGCCTCTGAATATAATCGTAGCATCACTACTAGGTAATAATGATATGATTTACTACCGTGATGTTTAAATTAATATTGTTTTCAGATATGTCTTTCCATTGCCACAGTTGACCGAAGATATGTTAAGAGTGAATGTATTGAAGATAAAAGGTGACCCAAAGTATTTCGATGCCTACAATTTCATTGGTCATCAAATGAATATCAATGAAATAAGGGTACACGAAGAAATCAATTTGGGCGATTTGTTATTGGTTGATCTTGAAAACATACAGATGGGACACATTTTCAAATTCACACCGGTACATGTAAAAAAGGCAGTATTAATTTTGGAGGTAAGTAAATCAACCATTATCAATTTGAGAACATTAAGTCAGACCTTTCGAATCAGTAATTCGATGTTGTTTCGCAAGGTGATTCAGTTAGTGGCAAGTACCATAAAGTGAAAGGCTTCTTGACAAAACTCAGTTATGAAGAACCAACTTTCAATTATTTTTCTCTGAAGATGTTCAGTTACCAAATGATAGTGTCGAAGTGTTTTTTTTTATCTTCTTATAAAGTGGACTAATAATGATTTTGATCTGTTGTTCTCAACACACTGAATGGACCACTCATAATTTGACTCTATTTCGAAGACCTGTATTTTTTGAAAAAATCGACCGATCTTCATGCGGTTTTCGATATCAGATGTGATGTTTCATCGGCTTCAAAGAGAGCTAGAACACTCTGAGTCCGCAGAACAAAACTTACACAGGGTGAATAGTGGAACCATTACACTAAGGTCTACATTTCCAATGCTGCCAGAACTCGAGAATTTTTTTTCTGATCAAAAGTCAGTCATATTATGATACACTGGGACCTCATCTCGGGACATTTTCGTGATTTCTCTTTTATTGGCCATTGGAACAAAAATTCGATTTTTTTCGAAAGACTTGCATTTCTTGAATTTTTTCTCTAGAACTCCACTTGAGCTGACTATTGGGAAGAAATATTCTCATGTTCTGTGGAGGACAATGAAAGACGAAAAAAGCACTTTCTTGGAATATACAGGATGATAGGAAAATAGGACAAAATCTCATTTCAGTAAAGAAAAATCAAAAATGGTGACTAAAACCATGGCCCATTCGATTCATTGTATTCAGAAACGGCCTTCTCGATATCCATTATTTATATTAGACTATTAACTCGAGACGTTTTCAAAAATTCGCCTCTAATATAAATAAAGAAGGAAAGTTTCCAATTCAAACTTGTTTCCTGAAATCGATGATTCTTATAATTTTTATACATAGAAGTAGGTGATAATTTTTGTCGGTTACTCGTCCGAAAAGATACATATAATAATGAAGATGATGGAAAGCCCTAATTTCGAGTGACAATGGAAAATGAAAAAACTCCACCGCCCCGTGTGAGAGTCGAACTCACAACCTCTGGGTTACATGTCCAACGCTCTGGCTCAATTGGCAGAGCGTTGGGCATGTATCCCAAGCTGTATCAGAAGAATGGGAGGCAATATCGGGGAGGAGAAATCACGAAAATGTCCCGAGATGAGGTCCCAGTGTATCATAATATGACTGACTTTTGATCAGAAAAAAATTTCTCGAATATTCAAGACGAAGGGAAATATTTTCACGTTGTTTTGCCAGACACTAAAACCAAAAAATCGAGGAGTTTCACCATACTTGAAGAAGGATTTCCAGTCAACCAGATCAATTTGTGTAAAAAATACATGTCTTTGAGACCACAGAATACTAGTTCTAGCCGCTTTTTTATTTTTTACAAAAATGGGAGGTGTACCAGACAGTGTGTGGGAATAAATACGTTGTCGAAGATACCTTCAAGAATTGCAAAGTTTTTGAACTTGGAGGAACCAGCGCCCTACACCGGTCACTGCCTGAGAAGGTCTTCGGCGACTCTTTTGGCCAATGCAGGGGCTAACATGACTACTTTGAAGCGTCACGGAGGATGGAAGTCCTCGACGGTAGCAGAATGATACCTAGGAGAATCGGTGCATAACAAAATACGAATTGCAGAAAAAATACAAGGTTCTAGTGTGTCGGCGTCTTCCAGCACTATCAGCAGCTGTACCGATATAGGAGCATCTGGTTCCAATGAACCAACGAATTTTACAATTACTTCAAATTCGAATAAACCGTTAGCGTTTCCTTTAATTTCAATACCAATGTGAATCCTGCTTGTAGTAGTAATAAATAAATAAAATACTACTTTAAATATGAACGTGAGTTATAATCCATAACTCACTAGTGAGTTTTTCAATATTTCAGAAATGTATGATCATTTCGAAATATTTGCCGACCTCAAAGCACCATCAGGGTCAATAATAGCCATCAACTTTGAGAACATAATTTTTGGATTAATTTTGGTATTTTCGACTCTCTCAAGGACACTCCGTTCTATAAAGATTTCATAGTGGTAATCTTGCCTTCATCGGACATGAAGTTGGTGCTAAATTAGGTTTAAAAAGTCTAAGAAACTCCTTCGACTCAATTGGTAAAAAATAGGTGAGACAGAGTATGAATCCGACTTATTTTCTCCATCTGATTATTCCCTGACTATATGAACGTTTGTGAAGTAAGAATCTGGTGAATTTTAACTCCAATAAATATCCTGAAAGTTCGAGGGCCCTGAAGACATTTTACCGGCCAGTAAACACAAACATCCCTGGGATGTCACATTCATGCCTCGCTAGGTAACAATGCGAGTCACAACAAAACATCATTGGTATTACCAGGAGACTCTTTATTTCACAAAACATTCGCAATATTTCTCACATTTTATTAAATTTGAGACCTGAGATGTTGGTGACTTTATGAGTCTCCCTAACAACCAAGAGACTCACTGAAACCTCACATCCTTGTCTATTTATGTAACGAACGGAATAAATCAATTTTGATGTTGAATGAGGAGTCGCATAATACGTACTGTAATTTTCATTTGGCATCATAATGTGAATCATAAAATGACCAAAAGGGTCCGGAATAGCAGTCATTGTGATTTCACTAGGCCTCTCATTTCGAGTCACAGATGTGATGTGTGGCATGAATGTGATGCCCTCTTACATCTCTGGGATCAATCTGTGTTAACTGGGCGGTAATTTTGATGTTAAATATTTCCCAATTAATAATTAAATGCCCACTAGGACCATGAAGTTATATTCGAAGTCTGTAATGATTAGTTTCCAACTATGCAATTTGCCAATAAAGCTGATGGTATTTATAGAAAATGTTGAGGTCCTAATCATTTTCGGAACTAGCACAACAAAAGCCATCAACGGTATATACACCGTTCCGGGAAAAAGTACTCACTTTTTTACCGTGTAAAAAGTAATTTATAAAAAAAAATATCGTTTTTCTACTCTCGTAAACATCTCCAGTCCCTGAATTGTCTGTACTTTTGACGCGTTGTGATTGAATGTCAATTGAAATTGATTGTCAAACAACTCGAACAAGTATTATAGAGACATAGATTACTTGATCATACCCAAGTACGAGTTTCTATAGACCAAAGATTCATTTCATGAATAGAAGTACTTGTTTTCATTAGCCAAAATCGGTTTCATAATGAAATTCCTTGTTAAAATTGCCAATAATGAGAAATCGGTGGCAGATATTCAATCCGCGTATTGTAATAAGGGAGTAGGAAAAATACAAATTCGTTTGGATTTGTTGAATTATATTACCTATTTGCTGAAACTATGACACGTATGGAACACAAATACCTAGCTACAAAAGATTCACCGTTTTTCTCATTGATATGTGATTAATTCAATGGATTATGTAACAAACTTCCTGATTTTGTTTCAGAAAGTTTATTCCAACCGAATCAAAGGAATTCATATAATTAATGCTCCAACATTTGCAGATAAACTGATATACATGATGAAATCTGTCCTTAAACAGAAGTTGATAAAGAGGGTAAGCATTGTTTCATCAGTTTATTATTATTAAGCAACTTCAATATTCCCATTTGGGTGTATGCAGTGGCGGCGGGGTAGGCTACCCTCGTAACATATGGAAAAAGAAGAAAACTTTTGGTGGGCTATCAATGAAACGTATCCATTTCTCCACATTTTTCTGAAATTTTCGAATTTAGATCAATTGCGGACCGGGGAGGGAACGACCAGTGCCGTAACTTCTGAATCATTCGAGATACCTAGTATTTTGAAATTTGTTGTTGTTTTGAAGTTTACCAAATTGAATATTCATTGACAACACAATTCTTGTCCTATCACTTCTGGTTCAACCGAAAGCATCAAATAGTTATTTTTCTCCAAATGACATCAAAAGAGGCTTTTTAAAGACACTCAACCGACAGAAAAACGGTACTTTTACTGCCTAGACAGAAAAAGTTTGTTGCTATGTTTCACACGGCAGAGAAGCACAAATAACTATTGTTTTTCTAGGCAAAAAAGCACAAGATTCAATGCCGCGGCTGGAAACCAGCAAAGGCATTAAATCTGCTTCTCTGCCGTGTGAAACATCCCTTATAACACACAACGTCCTAGAGACGTCCCTATTTGGTACAATTCACGTCCGAATGTCCCGAACCGTCCTTGGGACGTCCCATCCCGTACATCTCATGCAATGTCCGAACAAGGACGTCCACGGGTCTGTCCCAGCTGGTACACCTTTTCAGATGTCCTAGAAATAGCATCCCTTAGCCGTCCCACGTAGTACATATCGTAGAATGTCCATGCAAGGACGTCCTTGCCATGTCCCTGATGAGATATGATTTTAAACGTTCCTTTAGGGACATCCATCGGATGTACCGAGTAGTACATATTCTGGCATGACTTCAGAAATCTTATATGTCCCTTCTAGACAACCATGAAATGTCCCTGATGGTGCATTCCTTCAAATATCTCTGCACAGACGCCCTTAATATTTCCAGGATCGTATAACTATCGAAATGTCCCTTAGGGACATCCTTCGAATGTCCCTTAGGGATATCCGTCGGATGTCTCAATTGGTACATGAACTGTACTATTCCAATGTCCTAGAAATAACGTCCTATGGACGTCCCAGTCGGTACTTAATATGTTGTCCCTGCGAGGACGTTAATTTAGACCTCGCCGACGAATGATTGCTCGTAGGCTATAAGTACTCCTCGTCAATGTCCTTCACGTAAGTCCATTGGACATCCTTGGGAAACTTTTTGGGGACCTTCTACGGACTATCAACTCAACTGGATGTTCTAATCAGTTATGCAAGATCTGGTCTTAGAGGGACCCAGAAAAATTCAAATTCAAGAATAATTCGTACGTCCCTGGGACATCCTATGGACATCCAATTGATATCCCTTAGCGTTGCTGATAGGTTGTCCTAAGGATGTCCTCTGTAGTGCTTGATGAGCAATACTGTAGGATTTAGGTATTCGATAGTCGTCCCAGGGACATCCCTCAAGGACGTCCCTAGTTGGTCCTCAAGTGGGACATTTGTGCGTCCCACAGACGTCCAATGGACGTTTACGGTACCAAATTCGAACGTCCTATGGACGTCCTGAATGTCCCAACAGGACGTCCTAAGGATATTCATGGGACATTAGTGTGTTATTGGGGATATAATTTTTTTCTCCAAATTCGTCCAATTCCACGCAAACTCCAAATATTCCATCATTTTGTGTTCACCCAACGTCAGTGTCAATTTTGATTATCAATTTGATTCGAATTATTACTTGGAATAACGTTGCATAGCAACAAACTTCTTCTACCTAGGCACTAGGCAGTAAAAGTACACCTCTATTGAGTGTCATTAATAAGACACTTTCAATGACATTTGGAGAAAAATAGTTATTTGTTTTACTAGGCAGAAAAGTAATAGATTGACGCGGATGATAGTTCATAGCCGAGCATAGCAAGGCTAGGAATTCAGCCAAGGCAGTCAATCTACATTTGCTGCCGTGTGTAACATAGCATTTTTTCTCCAGATGACATGAAACCAATTGTGTGTAATTTTTTCATTGAAAACTTCATCATTTCGTGGTCACCGAATGTCAGTGTCAATTTTGATTACTAATTTCAGTAGAATTGCTTGGAACGTCGCTTAGCAAAACTCTTTCCTGCCTAGGCGATAAAATTACACCTTTTCTGCCTGTTAAGCGACAGAAAAAAGCCACTATCCCTGCCGCTTGGAGGAAAATGTATTTATTATATCATATCATATTACATTTTTCCATATCTCTGGATTCAGGGGATCGTTTCACACATATTAGAGATTTTTTTTGAACAGAATGTCGAGATATACAGGGTGTTTCATAATTGAATGTCAATATTCGAGGAGGCGATTCTTGGGCCCATTCTAAGAAGAAAGTTTCATATGAACATATGACCTAAACATCCCAACTTTTGAGATACAGGGTGGTAAAATTCTCGAAAATTAATATAGCCTACTACAATGAGAAGTGATAATTCCAAAATACCAAATATGAATACGAAGTTCATAAACTATGAATTGTATTTCTGAAATTTGATCTAAGAAATAAAATCTAGTTCTCTGCATTGTGATATTGTCATATTAACGATATTGCTATAATCATGTAGTAAAAAGCTTGTTATATTTTTAAGCGAAAACCGTGCATCAGATTGAAAAAATTGTAGTGATCAAATTTGCTTAGAAATGTTTGGGAATTCCAGGAATGATTTCAATTTGGAGATTAATCAGTGGCGTACCATTAATGTCTGCCAAAATAGGTATGTGAAATTCCATACGAACGCCACTGGTGGCAACAACAAAAAATGTGGTACGCTTACTGATGCATCTTGATACATAGTACATGTATGCCAAATTTCATCAGAATATCTGAAGTGGTATTACAGATATTAATAAAAAACTATTAATTTTTGAGAACTTTACCACCCTGTATCTCAAAAGTTAGGATGTTTAGGTCATACGTTCATATGAAACTTTCTTCTTAGAATGGGCCCAAAAATCGCCTCCCCAAATATTGACATTCAATTATGAAACACCCTGTATACAGGTCCTATATGAAAATCACACAAGTTGGGGTAGCTTCCAGTCGAACCAGAAGTGATATAATATATGTTCTGTCAATAAAAGGCAATTTGGTATTCTTCCTGCCCAGCAAATTTCAGAATTCGACCTCCAATAATTCAGAAATAACAGCACTGGCCGTTTTTTGTGGACTTGTCTGTATTATTGAAAATACAGGCTGATTCACGGTGGATGGCACATTAGACGTTTCTGGTGAACCAGACAACGGATCATTTTGAAAATTCAATGGAGGGCATATTCGGACATTTTCTAGCCAACTAAAATATTTTCGACAATGCGGTGTTGCCGCTCCTATTAGAAAACAGTAGCAACTTTGATTTTTCAAATGGAACACTCTGTATTTTATTGCATTTTTAGATTCTCCCTGAAGAGCAGATTTCATCGATGTATCACACTTGGGGTCTAGCGGAAATGATTACAGAGATATAGGGTGTGAAAAATCGACATTTTTCAACTTTAGGAATTTTTTTTGTCGAAACTATTCATTATTGGTCAAAACGGCTCACATGTCCCTATCTCAACTTTTGATCAATTATCTACTAACATTTAATTGAAACAAATACAGGGTGGTGCAGAATTCAGAATCTTGATCACCCGGTATATGTCCCAATTAAATATCAGTAGATAGTTAATCAAAAGTTGAGATAGGGGCATGTGAGTCGTTTCGACCAATGATGAATAGTTTCGACACAAAAAAATCCTAAAGTTGAAAAATGTCGATTTTTCACACCCTATATCTCTGTAATCATTTCCGCTAGACCCCAAGTGTGATACATCGATGGAATCAGCTCTTCAGGGAGAATCTAAAAATGCAATAAAATACAGAGTGTTCCATTTGAAAAATCAAAGTTGTTACTGCTTTCTAATAGAAGCGGCAACACCGCATTGTCGAAAATATTTTAGTTGACTAGAGAATGTCCGAATATGCCCTCCATTGAATTTTCAAAATGATCCGTTGTCTGGTTCACCAGAAACGTCTAATGTGCCATCCACCGTGAATCAGCCTGTATATTCGAATTTCACTTTTTATTTTCATTACCCCGCCCCTCCTCCTCATACCAATCTAACGACAGCGGTAATCAATTTCTATTTTCAAATGGCATTGTACATTTTTGAATTTTTATTTGATAGAAATTGTTTTCTGAATATAATGATGAATGAAAAGTTGCGACTTTCGCGCAAAATTAGTTGGAACAAATGTATGCTCCGTCGTCAAGAAATGGATCATTCATTATACTTTCTCTAGTTCCTAAGTTCCTTAAATCATTTGTTTCCAATATATAATCCTTTTAACATTATAATGACTCTTTTTCATAAGGAACGGACTCAACCTTCAATGACTCATATAAAATTTGATGAATTGATCAATAATTCCTTGTCGACGGAGCATACATTTTTTGCAACTAATTTTGCGCAAAAGGCGACTTGTTCAACATCATTGTATTCAGAAAAAAATCTCTATCAGAAAAAAAAATCAAAATATACAATGCCATTTAAAACAAAAGTTGACAATCGCTGTCGTTAGAGTTGAAATTGAAAAAAAAAAGTTAATGTCACCTTGTCCCAGACAGCACTGGATATTCCTAGAATATTCTCTAAATATGCTAAAAGAAAAAAGTATTTTGCGAATATCCACCGAATATTCTTAGAATATATATGTGCCCCTAGATAATCCAAGGAATATCCAAATTTGAATATTCTAGTAATATTCCAAAATAATATACACAGAATATTTCGGAAAGAATATTCAGATATGAATATTCCAAGAATATTCCAGTTGGATTGTTCAGGGAATATTCAGGTATGAATAGGGATCAAATTACTCAATCAGATCATCGTACATGTTTGGAGTCCATATAGGCTCATCATTATTATTATGTATCAAGATTTTGGAACATGAAATGTTTATGATCCGATTCTGAACAACGCTCTACAATTGTTATGTACAATATCATTTAACTCGATTACTGGCCTAGTGGTTGAGGCGTTGCTCTGACAATCTGGGAATCACGAGTTCGAGCCCATCTTGAGTCAGCTTTTTTTAATAATGAATATCTTTAGTGGAATATTCCAGGAATATTTATTCATTATTATGCCTGTACTATCCCTGGAATATTCCAAATATTATCTGAATATTCCTAGAATATTATAGGTACATTCTGAATATAGAGAGAATATTCCCTGTGAATATTCTAGGAATATATACATTATTTCCCACCAGCACATTCAGGAAATATTCAGTAGGAGATAAGTATATCCCTGGCATGTTTGTGAATATTCCCAATATCCAAAATTGATATTCTTTGAATATTCATGGAATATCTGGTGTTGTCTGGGTAGTATCTGATGAATGATTTGATTTCCTTTCTTGTTTTTCAAAATCGGATAGTTAATAATAGCGCAATGGTTTGGGGCATTTTTTGTCACTCAGTCTGTATATGGGTTTAATTCCAACAGATTCACATACACTCTTCGTTGAAAGATGTTTTGGAACATATTTCCGCCGATATCCTGCCCAAAGATTACGGAGGAAATGAAATGGGGCTTGAAGAATTGCAATGTGAGTAAAAATATGATTTGTTATCATGAAGGTACTCACCTAATTTTCCATATTTATAATCATCATATTTTTTTTGTTGTCAAATTATTCGGCTAATTCACCTGGTGTTCCAAGTTATCCAATACAGGCAATATCCCACTTATTCGACAAGATATTTGAAAAATACAAGAATTATTATGAATGGCATGGCAAAGTTCCTTCCTCCTGATTTATGAAAGAATGTATTACTTTTGATAACCCTATATGGTAGCTACCTCTCACTATTTATTTCCAAATGGCAAGTATATTGTTATCGTGTCATTCTTTTTGAAATACAACCAAAACAATAGCATACTCGGTATATTATGTTCATCAATAACAATAAATACATCAATATATTGTGATTTTTTTACGTTACTTCAATGAAGTATTGCCCGCCCATGATTCGAAAAACTTCACAGATTAGAAATAGATCAATTTTTTAATTCAGAAAACCGATTTTTTTATGTTAAAAAGTAATGACTGTAATTCTATTTTATAGTCTAGAACATCAATCATTTGCAAACGGTAGGTATACCATGTGTATACCTATACCATCAAGTGTAATTAACCCACTTCAATTCTGTGAAGTTTTTGGAAACATGAGCGAAAAAAATTTTTCATTCAAGCAATGTCAAAGAAGTCACAAAATTTCAATGTTTCTGTTGGTATATTCATAAAAGCAATACCAATTTTGTGCTATCGTTGTATTCCAAATGTGTCTTAATTGAATGATATGCAATTTTCATTGACATTATAAAAAAACAAAATGAGAAGTGATGTTACGAAGGCGCTGAAGGGCCACCTATACTATTTTTTTTTTAATCCCGACTTTAAAGTCGGGGGTCCGAGATTAAAGTCGGGGGTCCGACTTTAAAGTCGGGGGTCCGAGATTAAAGTCGGGGGTCCGACTTTAAAGTCGGGGGTCCGAGATTAAAGTCGGGGGTCCGAGATTAAAGTCGGGGGTCCGACTTTGAAGTCGGGGGTCCGAGATTAAAGTCGGGGGTCCGACTTTAAAGTCGGGGGTCCGAGATTAAAGTCGGGGGTCCGAGATTAAAGTCGGGGGTCCGACTTTGAAGTCGGGGGTCCGAGATTAGAGTCGGGGGTCCGACTTTAAAGTCGGGGGTCCGAGATTATAGTCGGGGGTCCGACTTTAATCTCGAAAATTCCGAGAAAATGATCGAATGAGCAAAATAAGTCATCACTTTCGTTTAATTCGAATATCCTTAATATCGACAAAATATCAATATAACATATACAGGGTGATCCACGGTGGATGGCCTATTAGAAGTATCTGGAGAACGAAAAGACAGAACATTCTGAAAATTGGGATCCTTTGATAATTGAACATTCTCTATCCGTTTAAAATATGTTCATCGATACAGTGTTGCCACTTCTATTAGAAACAACCAGCAACTTTGTTATTTCTAATGGAATACCCTGTATTTTATTGCATTTTCAGATTCTTCCTGAAGAGCTGATTTCATCAATGTCAAAAATACAGGGTGCTTCAAGATTCATAATTCTGATCACCCTGTATCTGTTCCAATTAAATGCTAGTAGACAGTGAATCGAAAGTTAAGATAGGGACATGTGAACCGTTTTGATCGATTATGAATAGTTTCGACACAAAAAAATCTTAACATTGAAAAATCCTGATTTTGAACACCCTATATCTCTGTAATCATTCCTGCTAGAACCCAAGTGTGATGCATTGATGAAATCAGCTGTTCAGGAAGAATCTGAAAATGTAATAAAATACAGGGTGTTCCATTTGAAATAACAAAGTTGCTAACTGTTTCTGATAGAATAAGTAGCAACACTGTCTCGATGAAAGTATTTTAGACGAATAGAGAATGTTCATTTATCGGAGCATCCTAATTTTCAGAATGTTCTGTCTTTTAGTTCTCCAGATACTTCTAATATGCCATCCACCGTGAATCACCCTGTATAATTAGTTAATTCATAATGAAAACTGCGCATTGAAAACTTGATTCTCAACGTTTTCATAAGGCTTTGAAATTTGGCTATTTATTGAAGAAGATTATGAAAATAGTCCGGAAGGGTTAACTCATACCTATACAAGTGTAATTATATATCATTGAACTCATCTTTCTGAGCTCTACCCAAGGACGGAATGACATTCAGGGTAGTTCATTTGTGAAAATATATGTTTTGTATTGTAATGTTTTTGCACCCTTTGAACAAACAAATGAGATTCTCAGCTATTAAGTGGAATATGAACAATCACCCTATACGTACGATAATGATCGTACAGGTGTGATCCATTATTTGACATTCAGTGTACCTACATCCAAAAAGGAGGATTTTGACTGATCCTTATGTGATGATTATCCAATGGATGTAAAATTATTGTTTGTACATAAATGTACAGGGTGTTTCTCGAGTACATGTAGAAAATTCAGGAGCATGTTGCTGACGTCAAACTGATGAGTACCAATGGAAATTATTTATTTCTGTCCATATATTTAACGAATATAATCTAGCTCCTAACTTCAGTTCCGAACTCTCGACTTTAATCTCGGACCCCCGACTTTAATCTCGGACCCCCGACTTTAAAGTCGGACCCCCGACTTTAATCTCGGACCCCTGACTTTAATCTCGGACCCCCGACTTTAATCTCGGGCCCCCGACTTTAAAGTCGGACCCCCGACTTTAATCTCGGACCCCCGACTTTAATCTCGGACCCCCGACTTTAATCTCGGACCCCCGACTTTAAAGTCGGACCCCCGACTTTAATCTCGGACCCCCGACTTCAAAGTCGGACCCCCGACTTTAAAGTCGGACCCCCGACCTTAATCTCGGACCCCCGACTTCAAAGTCGGACCCTCGACTTTAATCTCGAACCCCCGACTTTAATCTCGGACCCCCGACTTTAAAGTCGGGATTCAAAAAAAAAAGTATAGGTGGCCCTTCAGCGCCTTCGTATGATGTAGCTTCTACAAGGCTGCTGAATGTAATCCATTTTTTATAATTTTTTGAATTGACTCGGCCGTTACTTGATGGAAATCCATAGCAAATGTAAAAACTTCCCAAACGATAAGATTTCCACAGAATTCTTAATCATACCAATGTGTTTGTGAATTTTTTACATTTTTCATAAGTTATTCGGAAACAGCTTCGAATGCAATTCGAAGCTGTTTCACCCGTTAAGTACTAGTACCACTGGTACTATATAGTACTACTGGTACTAGTACTTCTAGTATAATATCCCGCATTATTGTCCCGTGAGTTCTCTTTTTGGCACGACTCTTCAATCCTTCAATGGTCCTCAAAGCTCCGATCATTCACTGTGACCGAAACTGTTTAGTGAGCATATAGTTGAACGTAACTCATGAAACAAAAATAGTAGAAAAAACTCAAAATCCTGTTGGTATCGAAATGATTCGTGTTAAGTACCAACCTATTAGTGAATTCTATATTTATTTGAAAGCAGATATTGTAGCTATTTTGTTTCACTAGGTAGCAAAGTAGTAGATTGACTGCCACGGCTGATAGTTCATCTGAGCGTATAGCGAGGGTAGGAAATTACCCAGGACAGTCAATATACATTTGCTGCCTTAGAAATAGTTATTTATTTGTTTAACTAGTCAGCAAAGTAGTAGATTGACCGCCGAGGCTGAATTCATAGCCGAGCGTAGCGAGGCTAGGAATCCAGCTAAGGCAGTCAATCTACTTTGCTGCTGAGTTGAACATATATTTTTTTCCCCGATTGTTCATAATGATATATATCTCTTTATTTTTCCTGTAGTGTTCAATTAAAATAAAATTTGATAGAAATCGCAGTTGTTGGAATGGTTGGTTGCTATGAAAATGTCCATAATAATTATAGTTTGACAATTCATGAAATTTCTGACAGTTGTGCAAAAAAATATCGGTATATTTAAATTATTATATAATCGACAGTGATAGCGACCTGGAAGTACTTACTCCTCCAGAAATGAGGGAGGTGGCAAAAAATATAGAGTTGAACTTGTTGCCGGAGAAGTCTCGGATGAAATATGAAGAAAATTATAAACGATTTATGAATTATTAATTTTGCTGATACATGTGGTTTCTAGGTTAGATTTACTGCTGGATGCCAAGGTCATAAATACTGATGATATATCTGATCACCGACTAGTAACCTGTAATTTGAAATTGAAAAAAAATCGGCGTCCAGCAATTTTCAGAACCTTCCGTGATTTTTCGACTTTTGATTATGAACTTTTTTTGTTTGATTTAGGGATGACTGAATTTGATTATATCTACTCTTTGGAAAGTATAGATGATATGGTGAGTTTCTGGAATGAAAAAATTATTAAATTGTTTGATACACATGCACCAAAAAAAACTGTGAGAATGTCTAAGGCACCGGCTCCTTGGCTTACTGAAAATCTTAAGATCATGATGAACATTAGGGACAGAGCATATATTAGGTATAGGAAATATAAAACGGATACAGCATGGAGGGATTATAAACATTTGAGGAATATGGTTGACTCAGCTATCAAGTCTGAAAAGAAAGCATATCTGAATTTCCAATTTAAAAAAGACCCAAAGACATTTTGGAAAACAATGAAAACTCTTAATTTGAACTCTCAAAATGTAGATATTGATACAAATTTTAGTGATTCAGAATGCTTCAATAATCACGTCGTAAATAATATTCCTCAACCTGCCACACAAAACAATGAATATTTGGAACAAAAATATGGGAATAATACTCTTCCGAATGTAAATGAGCTATTCAAGTTCAAAGTAGTATCAGCAGATAAGGTACTAAATGTGTTTATGACAATTAAATCGAATGCCATGGGTGCTGATAACATTGATCGTAAGATGCTCTCTCTGGTTCTCCCTCATCTTTTAAATCACCTGACTTTTATTATTAATAAATGTCTAAAAAATGGCTATGTGCCAAAAGCATGGAAAAATGCGAACGTTATACCTATTCCCAAAGTTGAACATCCTAGTTCGGTTGCTGAATTCAGGCCTATCAGTTTATTACCTACTATTTCTAAAATATTAGAAAAAATTGTTACTGAACAGCTGAATGAACATTTAAGTAATAAGAATATTTTACCCATTCATCAATCCGGGTTTAGAGTTAATCACAGCACGTCAACAGCCCTTTTGAAAGTGACTGATGACATATTTGAAGCGAACGATAATAAAAAATGCACTATATTAATTTTATTGGACTATAGCAAGGCCTTTGATACTCTAAACCATACAATTTTATGTAGGAAGCTGGAATACTTTGGTTTAGACCCTCTCACAGTGGACTTTTTCAATAATTATCTATTGGATCGCAGGCAAAGGGTTTTATGGAATAGTCAGTTTTCAGAATGGTCTACATTAACTCGTGGAGTTCCGCAAGGCAGTATCTTGGGACCTCTCTTGTTCACAATTTATACATCGGATTTTTTTAAATGCTTAAAGTTCTGTAATATACATCAATACGCTGATGACACGCAAATATATCATTCCTTTCCTGCGACCGACATTGATTCTGCAGTTAACCAAATTAATTCTGACCTAAATGCCATTTTTGACATCTCTAACGCACACGAATTGATTTTGAACGAGTTCAAAACGATTATGGTGGTATTTGGAAACAATCGCAAGAATGTAATTGACTATCCAAATCTCAATATACGTATCAATGGTAAATCGCTCAATCCAGAAGATACATGTAAAAACCTCGGCCTGCATATGGATTCTGACATGAGATTTTCGAAGCATGTTAATAATCTTTTGCAGAAATCTTACTGTAAACTTCGGACCCTATATATACATAGAGACTTATTGAGTAAAGATGTCAAGCTCAAATTATGTGATACCTTAATTCTAAGCATTCTTTCCTATTGTGATATGATTTATTGGCCGGCCTTGTCAATCGGTGATAAAAAAAGTCTCCAGAAAATACAAAACTGCTGTGTTAGATTTTCATTCAACCTGCGAAAATTCGACCATATCTCTCTTGCCTTCGAGGAGACGAAATGGCTGTCTCTCGAAAATCGCTCCCAATTGCATTTGGCATGTTTAATTTATAAGCTGAATAAAAATCATGCACCCTTATATCTTTTGAAAAAGCTGAGTAAAGGTTGTCAAACTCATACCTGTCCGACACGATCGAAAGATCTGTACACCGTCCCCAGGCACAGATCTGCACTTTATGAAAGTTCATTTAGTTACAATGCAGCCAAGCTGTATAACAGATTGCCCGCGAATATTAAGGCTGCAGCAGGTTTGGCTAGCTTCAGAGAGCAGGTCAGGTCTGTTTTGATGGATTCTACCTTATGAATGATGAATTGGTTACCTTCCGTATCATAAATTGATGACTTATTATTTTTGTATACCTGTATTTGTACTATCAATGTAGCTTGTATAACCTCTAATAACTCGCTGAATGTTCAGCTGTAATGGAGTGGTTATGTGGAAGAGCAGCTCCGCTGAACATCGCCACTCCTTCTTAACTTGTACTTGTTGACATTTTGATGAATGAATAATAAAGCCGCATTATTATTATTATTATTATTATTATATCAATCAGCAAAGTGACCACTTTGCTGCCTAGGCAGGAAAAGTAATACTTTGCTGATTGATATGTGTCAGCAAAATTAATATTTGCTGCCAATCGGAGAAAAACATAATTTTTTCACCAAAAATACAAAAGCAATTTAGTGTAAATTTTTTAACCAAAACTCCATCATTTTGTGTTCACCCAATGTCAGTGTCAATTTTGATCACCGATTTCAATCAAATTACTTGGAAACTCGCTTGGAACAGAGGCAGAGAAAGTAGATATTTACCTGCCGCTTGGAGAAAATAGTTATTTGTTTCACTAGGCAGGAGAGCACAAGATTTAATGCCGCGCGCAGCTGATAGTTCATAGGATTTCAGCCAAGAAAGGCATGTGGAACATCTACTTTTTTCTCCAAATTCATTCAATTTCACGCAAATCATAATCTATCATTTTGTGTTCTCCCAGTCAATCGTCAATTTTGATAACCAACTTGATTCGACTTATTACTCGTAACGTTAAATATACAGGGTGATCCACGGTGGATGGCCCATTAGGAGTATCTGGAGCACGAAAAGACAGAACATTCTGAAAATTGGGATGCTTTGATAATTGAACATTCTCTATCCGTCTAAAATATTTTTATCGATACAGTGTTGCCACTTCTATCAGAAACAACTAGCAACTATTCAAGTATTTGATTTCATCTTCAGATTCTTCCTGAAGAGCTGATTTCATCAATGCATCACACTTGGGGTTTAGAAGGAATGATTACAGAGATATAGGGTGTTCAAAATCGAGATTTTTCAATTTTAAGATTTTATTGTGTCGAAACTATTCATTATCGATCAATACGGCTTACATGTCCCTATCTCAAATTTTGATTCACTATCTACTGGAATTTAATTGGAAGAAATACAGGGTGCTTCAAGATTCAGAATTCTGATCACCCGCCTGTATCTGTTCCAATTTGATGTCAGTAGATAGTGAATCGAAAGTTAAGATAGGGACATGTACGCCGTTTTTATCGATAATGAATAGTTTCGAGACAAAAAATCCTAAAATTGAAGAATCTCGATTTTGAACACCCTATATCTCTGTAATCATTCCTGCTAGATCCCAAGTGTGATACATTGATGAAATCAGCTCTTCAGGAAGAATCTAAAAATGCAATAAAATACAGAGGGTGTTCCATTTGAAATAACAAAGTTGCTAGTTGTTTCTGACAGAAGTGTATCGATAAAAATATTTTAGACGGATAGAGAATGTTCAATTATCAAAGCACCCCAATGTTCAGAATGTTCTGTCTTTTTGTTCTCCAGATACTTCTGATAGGCCATCCACCGTGGATCACCCTGTATAGCAACAAACTTTTCCTGCCCATAGGCAATACTTTCCTGCCTAGGCAGAGAAATTATAACTTTCGTGCCGGTCAAGTGTTATCAAAAAGCCACTTCCTATGTCATTTGGAGAAAGAAATAAATGATTTACCAACAAGAGATATTTCTCAGAAAACTATAGTTTGAAAAAAAAAAATTCGGTTCAATAAACAATAATGATATCATTGTGTCTTCTCTTTTCTCAGATCTGTGGAACATGAAGCTGAAACAATATAAAGATAGATTCGACAATTTGGAAAATATGAGGGTGAAACAAGATGAGCGACCAGCGAAATTGAAAAACGATGAAATACTGGGATATCACGGTAGCTTCAAGAAGTTGGAAGTCGATTAATACATGAATTTCAAACACCTACATACAAACATTTAGCAAAATTTTTGTAATTAAAAAATAAAGGCAAGGTATTGAGTTATTGAATATTGTAAATCATCAAAATAATAACAAGTAGGGACTCAACTCATGCAAAGATGTGAAAATTATCAGCAGATTATTCCAAGGGAAATTTGAGAGTTCGTGGACTGAGAATATATAGTTAGGTTCTGGAAATAAATCCAGCCAACCATGAGATGTATAAGTGATGTATACGCCCCACATAACTTTGTGATCATTTTATAAGAAAGAATTGGGCGAGCAAAATTTCCTATTTAACTGAATACAGTGCTTTTGCCAAAAAGTGATAGTTAGTTGTCAATTTGCCGATAATCAGTTAAGCAAGGTACACATATAGCAGATTATAAAAAAATCCTAATCATTATCTATAGGAAAGAACTGACAAAAAAGCGTTCCACTTAATTAGTCCATAGTACGGGTGATTACTGCGAGAAATGTCAGAGGTCTCCAACGATGATGTGATTGCTATGTTTAGAGAATTGAAACAACAAAATGAAGAAATAAAATCACAGAATAATCAACTTGTACATCAGTTTGGTGAACTGAAAGTGGAGTTTCAAAATTATAAGAAGGAAGTTGAAGCAAGTATCCAGGGATTGCAAACAGATTATGAAATATTGAAGCAAGAAAACGACGTACTCAAAATCAAACTGAACACGACAGAAAGGAAATTGAAGAAATTCAATTTGGTGATATATGGCCTGAAGTGTGGAGATGATGATATCTCGAATGATCTCATTGAGTTATTTCGAGAAAAAATAGGAATTGAATGCCAAGAACGAGACTTCAGAGATACTTATAAAATTAGCAGTACCCAAGAGAATAATAAGGAACCTCCAATTTTAGTTGAATTTGTAAGTAACAAGCTGAAAACTGATATTTTAACCAATGCGAAAAAACTGAAGGGGACTGGAGTTTATATATCGGTAGATTATACGTCGGAAGATTATAAGAAGAAAAAGTTTTTGATATCACAACAAAAGTTATCACGAGAACGGGGAGATACAGCAAACATAAAAGGAAATACTTTAGTGATTAATGGAACAACATGGACCTATGAAGCTTTGCTCGAGAAGAGTCATAATAATGATGCAGATAAAGAAGCAACGTCTATGAATAGCTGTAGGAAGAGGGGACCAGAAGATTCACCTGAAGCTATAGTAAACCGCACCAAACGAACAGTCCCAAAAATGCCTACTAGAGCATCATCAAGAATTTGTCAATAATAATCATTTTTATATCACCTTACCACTCTGTACTATTTTATTTTGTCGAGATTTTTGTCTTATATTAGATATCTGATGTTTTGTTTTTTAGAGTAAGCACCCTTCCTAATAGATAAATTGATACCACAATAATGTACAACACCAAACTGGCACATTTGAATACTCGGTCTATTTTCACTGGTTTTTTGGAGTTAAAGAATCTGATATTGAAAAATGACTTTGATATAGTTGGAATCACGGAAACGTGGATGTCCCCAGAAATGCCTACAGATTTAGTGAGTATTACTAATTTCAATTTCCTCAGAGTTGACCGTGTTGGGAGGGGTGGTGGGGTTGGTTTATATATTCGAAATAGTATCAGTTATTCTTTGATAGATACTGATATTGATTTCGGAAACAATTCTGAACAACTTTGGATCAAATTACATTTGAAATATAAAACTATCGCACTTGGAATTGTCTATAAACCTCCAAACTCGAATACTTTGAGTGTAATCGATCAAATTGACTCCATAATTTCATTAGTAATACCAACAGTGGATGAAATCATTATATTAGGTGATATGAATGTTAATTTATTTAATCCTGAGAATCCTCTGAGTACTTGCTTTGGTGCATATGGTTTCAGTCAATTGATCAACGAAGCAACAAGAATAACGCAATATTCCAGTACACTATTAGATCCGATTTTCACAACAAACTCTGATATGATTGTCAGAAGTGGAGTGATGAATGCTGATCTTATATCCGATCATCAACTCGTGTTTTGTGAAATTGTGTGTGAGTCGGCTAAGAATCCTCCTAAATATATAACCTTTCGTGACTACAAATATTTCAATGTTGAACAGTTTCAATCTGACTTGCAGAGCATTGATTGGATGGATATTGTTAGAGAAAATGATATCGATCGGAAAGTGCATATTTTTTCTACTTACCTACTTGATCTTTTTGATTTTCATGCACCAGTTCGAAGAGTTAGAGTGACTAAACCTAAAACCCCATGGATTAATGATACTATAAAATCAATTTTCAAGGAGAGAGATTTGGCATTGAGAAAATTCAAGAAATCTAAAAATGAAGCTGATTTTTTAAATTATAAAAATTTGAGAAATTTTGCTCTGAATGCATTACGCAATGAGAAGAGGGCATATATCAACTTCATGTCCAGAACAACATCTAATTCCAATAAAAGTACTTGGCAGGCGTTAACGAATTTGAATGTTAAGTATAAAAAAAGTACGTCAATCCCAATTCATTTGAGCAACCCAGACAATTTAAATGCCTATTTCACAATGAACAATAATAATAATGACTCGGACTGTGTTGATACTTGCACCTATTTTAATAATAAATTATACCACCCGAATTTAAATTTTTCATTCAATCTATCGTCGGTTGACGAAATTCACGAAATACTATATCTTTTGAAGTCTAATGCATATGGCACAGATAATATCTCTATCACAATGTTGAAGTACTGTAGTCCATTTTTGGATAAGTTTATTACTAATATAATCAACTGTTGCCTTTTGTCTAATTACTTTCCTACGGAATGGAAAAAGGCTATCATAAATCCTCTTCCTAAAGTATCTAATCCAACTATAATATCTGATCTGAGACCTGTGAGTATACTATGTACTCTCTCAAAAATCATGGAAAAAATAATGCATAAACAAATGACACAATTTTTAAAATTGAATAACATTCTTCCGAGTAATCAGTCTGGTTTTCGTTCAGCTCATAGTACCACGTCAGCATTAGTAGATGTAACCAGTCATATAACTAAGGCCCTTGATGATGGAGAAGTTGCGATGCTTTTGCTCTTAGATTATTCAAAAGCTTTTGATACAATCAACCACAAAGTTTTATTGGCTAAATTGAGATATTACGGTTTTGGTAACTCTGCGCTAGATCTAATTAACCATTATTTAACAGATCGTACTCAGATGGTGAGCTGTAATAACTCACTGTCTAATAGTGCGTCAATTTGTGCAGGAGTGCCGCAAGGTTCGGTGATTGGTCCCTTATTATTCCTAATATACACTACCGACATAATAAAATCAATTACTCGTGGTTTTACTCATGCATTTGCAGATGACACTCAACTGGTATATAGATTCCAATCAAGTGACTACGCTAGAGTAGAGGTTGAAATCAACTCTGAACTCGAACACCTTTATCAAATATCGAAAAACAATAATCTGAAAATGAATCCAGAGAAGTCTAAAGTAATGATATTCGGAAATAGAAAATCACGAGTGATAGTAGATGAAAATATTGACATAAATATTAATAATAAAAAAGTTGAAGTTGTTACGGAAGCACGAAATCTTGGTGTTACATTCGATAATAAGTTGAAATTTACGAAACACACAAACAAATTGATCCAGAAATCGTACTTCGCTCTCAAAATTCTCTATAGTAGTAGGCAGCTGTTGAATACTACCATGAAAAAAAACTTAAGCGACATCTTGGTGCTATCGACTTTCAACTATGTAGATTTCGTATATGGTCCTTTCCTAGACATAAATGATAAAACACGTATTCAACGAACGCAGAATTCTTGTTGTAGGTTCATATACAATTTAAAGAAATACGATCACATAAGTGTAAGATTCAAAGAACTCAGCTGGCTCAACATGAATAATAGAAGGTCATTACATCTGTTACAGTTTATTAACAAAATCTTAGTAACATCTGAGCCCAGTTATGTAAGAAAACAACTTAGTTATAGACGAAACCTTCATAACATCAGCATTCGTTCTCGTCATACTTTAGACATTCCTAAACATCGTTCCACAATCTTTCAAAAAAGTTTCAGCTACCGTGCACCGAAACAATACAATGAACTCCCGGATCATCTGAAAATATTGAATATGAATCAATTCAAGCATAAAGTTAAAAAATATTTATTGAATATGCAGAATCATACAAATTGATTGGGTGTCGAGTTTCATCATGCTGGTTGGAAAATCTGATTGATAAATGTATTAGTTAGGCATCGATGAAGCATTAGAAAATCTGAACTTTGTTTTGTAGACATATAGCAAAATTATTGCATATTATACTATATCCTAATAATGAAAAATTGTAATTTTTAGTGTCTTAGTATTTAGTTTATTTTTGTTTGAGGTAAAGTGGTAGAATAGCTTTAGCTAAACTTCACCTCATTTGTTCACTGATTGGCATATACTTATATCCACATATTTATATATTACATATGTTTATATTTTTGATGTTAATTCTTGGTGAACAAATAAAGACGATTATTATTATTATATGCGATATCCCATTTGAAGTCACAAACATGTTACCGATACAACGTGGCGATGTGAAAATGTCCGACTCAAGTAACATCACTGTGACGTCGTTCAGACCTCGGTTCAGACATTAAATGCGACATCACATGAAAAATCACTACCACGTCACATACAAGTGTACATTTCATATTACGAATACATCACACTGCGACATCGATGATGTGGTCGCCGTACCTGTGATATTCGTGGGATATATAATAATAATTATTATTCAACTTTACGAAGAAAATGTTTATTTTCCGAAAGTAAAGACAGATGAACTTATCATGACTATCACCCAAATTAGTAATCATGAAGTAAAACATGATACATATACATAGCAATACATATATACATTATTCATAAATGATACATATCAAATACACTTACATTATCTTGGGATCTTTCATCCACCTTGTTTTAGATTGCAATATCTCAGAGATAATTATAATATTACCTATTGTGGTTGAACTCACCGTCGTTCCTAAATGATTGTATACCTCCAATTTGAAGCTGCTATAGCATGTGCTATAAATCATCTCAGATATTTCAACAGAGAATTTGGAAGGAAATAGTCTGTACGGAGTCGGACTCACTCACTGACTGACTGACTGACTGACGTGGCCATCCACAGCTCAACATGGCGTCTGGCGTATGCGTTCGTTTTGCGCATGTCTGCGCCACACTCACAGGTCACAAAGATATCTCATGAGGATATATATCAATGTGAATTATTTAGTTAACGTCGAAGAGATGTGTTTTGAAGAAGTCGCTGCCACATTACATAGTTTCCTGGTTGCGATGTCACCTTGCGACGTTGATATCGAATCTATACGTCGATAAGATATGTTAACGAGATATTGCATTTATGCAAGGTTGTTACATCACACAGATGTTGATGTCACACGATGGTTGGCTGGGAAGTAACCTTCTGCAATAACAATAATAATAATCAAAGGTACAACAATAATTCCCATTCAAAATTATGTATGTTTGGACAAAAAGAATTAACAAAAGCTATCACAATAAGGAGTGGTGCAATAATATAAATTAAATGGATATTGATTTATTTATTGAAGAACATGGAATAATCCATAAATCTTGGGAGGGATCACTGGGCTGTGGTACTCCCTTGGTTGCGCCTTCGATAATAATCATTGACTGATAGTAATTCAATTTTTTTTAAACAAATAACATTGATATTCCCAACTAGCATTTATCAGTATATAACAGGACAGCCCCTAGGGCTCAAAAAATGATTCATTCATGACTCATTTTAAAACTTCATCGCTCAGTAATAGTCGTTCACTATAGAATCTACGTAGTTTCTATTCCAGATGATAACTCCGAGAATAATCCATGAATTTTTGCCAACTTCAAATAGATTTTTTGGTAACGCTCAGCTCCCTAAGAGGATTATATACTGCACCATCGTTAATTTGTCGTAACTGTTACAATTTTATGCTATTCAATACAGTGATGGGCAAAAGTGTGGAACTAAATGAATATCTCAGTAACGATCGTTTGTTAGATTTCTTTGAATTCTCTCACAGAGTGATTTCAGAACATGGCGGAATCGAAAATGTTTTTGCCAATGTTGCCACCTTTTTAGTAGTACAAGTACATCTAAGGTCGTCCTCAATGTGTCTCCAAAAGCCTGGAGAGGACGTTCTATTTTCTACAACCGTAATTGTCCTAGATGTGATCTTTCACTGACAGTCTGAGGATGTAGAGAATTTCGTGCCTATGGATGTCTTCAGATGACATTACATGACAAAACGTGTCATCGAAGCCAAAAGGCAGAAGAACTAGAATTCAGGTTATATCTCATATG